TGTTGATTTTTCATAGATAGCCTTAATCAGGTTGAGATAAAGACCTTCTATTCCAATTTTCTGTAGGGTTTTTATCATGAATGGGTGCTGGATTTTGTCAAATGCTTTTTCTGCATCTATTGAGATGATCATAGGGTTTTTGTCCTTGGTTCTGTTAATATAGTGTATTACATTCATTGATTTAGGTATATTGAACCATCCTTGCATCCCTGGGATAAATCTGACTTGGTCAGGTTGTATGATTTTTTTGATGACCCTCTGTATTCTGTTTGCCAGTATCTAATTGAGGATTTTTGCATCTATGTTCATTAAGGAGATTGGCCTGTAGTTCCCTTTTTGGGTTGGGTCTTTCCCTGGTTTTGGAATCAAAGTAACACTTGCTTCCAGGAATGACTTTGGAAGTATTGCTTCCCTTTCAATTTCCTTGATGAGTTTAAAGAGTAATGGTGATAGTTCTTCTTTAAATGTCTTGAAGAATTCAGCAGTGAAGCCATCAGGTCGTGGGCTTTTCTTTGTTGGTAAATTTTTAATTATGTTTTCAAATTCACTCATTGTAATTGGGGTGTTTAGAATTTCTATATCTTCTTCATTTAACTTTGGCAATTCGTTTGTATCTAAAATCTGTCCATTTCTTCTGTGTTTTCCATTTTATTAGAGTACAGGTTCTCCAAGTAGGTATTGATGATCCTCTGGATTTCTGCTGGATCTGTTGTGACTTCACCTTTTTCATTCTTAATTGCATGGATTTGAGCCTTTTCTTTCCTTTTTTTGATAAGGTTGGCTAAAGGTTTATCGATTTTAATTATTCTTTTGAAAAACCAACTCTTTGATTCATTAATTTTTTTGTATCATTCTCTTGGTCTCCATTGCATTGATTTCTGCTCTGATCTTTATGATTTCCTCTCTTGTACGAGCTTTGGGTTTGTCCTGCTCTTCTTTTTCTAGGAGCTTGAGGCTCAGCATTAGGTTGTTTATTTGAGCTCTCTCTATTTTTCCTATTATGGGGATTCACTGCTATGAATTTCCCTCTTAGAACTGCTTTCATTGTGTCCCATAGATTCCTGTATGTTGTACTGGGATTATCATTTACTTGTAGAAAGTGTCTAATTTCTTCTTTAATTTTATCTGTGACCCATTGGTTGTTCAGGAGGGTGTTATTCCATTTCCATGTATTTGTGAGTGTTTTGCGGTTTCTTATGCTATTGATCTCCAGTTTAATTGCACTATGGTCTGATAATATACAAGGGATAACTTCAGTTCTTTTACATTTACTTAAACATGTCATATGAGATAGCATGTGGTCTATTTTGAAGAATGACCCATGTGCAGCCGAAAAGGATGTATATTCTGGTTTTGTGGGGTGGAACACTCTCTAAACATCTATTAAGTCCATTTGTTCAATAGCTTGGTTCAGTTCTATTATTTCATTGTTGATTTTTTGTATAGATGATTTGTCTATTTGTGATAGTGGGGTATTGAGTTCCCCCACTACAATTGTATTAGTGCTTATTTGGTTTTTCATGTCC